GATCTCGATGCCTCAGCAGTGAGGGGCAGGGAGGCTCCTCCCTCCCTCCTTCACACTAGCTTGGGGACCGGGTTGGGCTTAGGCAGGTGGGGGTGGGGCTTTGGTGGGGCTTCATCAGGCGGGGCGGGACATGCTGGGGGTGAGGCTGGGGAATGCACGTCACTGGTTCACACCACAAATGAGCAGAAAGGTGAGGAGTGGTGAGGTGCAGAAAAATGCAGCATTTTCCACAACGCACGTAAACTAATGTAAAACTTACATGGATGCAACTCGACTGAAAGACAATTAAACTCACCAAAGGGAAAAGGAAGTAATAACACTGGAACCGGGGAGAAATGTTTGAAAAATACGTATGTCAGCGGATGTCGATGTGTAAAAGAAACAACAGAAAATGAAATAGATATGCATGTACACACGCCGATGCATGCCAACTCACCTGCGGTTTTTCATTCCTTTCTTTGTGTGATATGCACATGCCAATATTATATGACTGCAACAGACAGGCTCTGCCAAGCATTCTATATTGCCGGTAATTATCCATTTACGCCTCTGGCTCTGTATCCTTTGCAATGTACAATGCATACCGCAACTAGTAAATACATTTTGGCCCAGTGCGATATGCATGCCACTATTAACCCCACCACTACCCTGTACCACCACCATTCTCAGGCCTGCTGATTCCCAGGCATACCCAGGTATGTTCATCACATGTATCTGTTGGTGTGTGGCGAGGAGAACATGGTACAGAACTGACATGCACATCATGGCTTAGGGCTTGTTCACACCAAATCAGGACCAGATCTGCATGAGTTGCTACATATGCAGTGCAGTGCGTTTTGACGTTTTCTTGACGCATTCCGGTCCATTTTCTTTTTCCTAAAATGGGCTTCCAGGTGTAGTCCTTTTGCCTTCCATGGCATTTGCATGTGATTTTGATGCGTTTGCATGTGTTTTGGTGCGTTCCAGAGCAGAAAAAATAGGGCATGCTGCAGTTTTTTCACATGCTCTGGAAATGAACGCTGTGCTGTGAACTAGAGCCCAAAATACCATTGGAATACATTGGATGCATTTTTTGATGCGTTCTGTAACTGCTCTGCACTTGGTGTGAGCAAGCCCTTAGAAATGTAGTGGCCCACTACTACACCCAGTGTGTACATCTGCTCTGTACCAGGCACTCCTCACTACAAACTAACAGGAATTGGATAAGTATAGTTTGTTATTATTCTCATAAGCAGGCACGATATTTCCTTAGCACAGGTTTTCTTTATTATATCTTATATTATATCCTATTTAGTTCCACTGTAAACACAGACAGCACAAGGCTAAGCATACTGCATGTCAGACGTGCACATACTCTTCTAGCCACAGAGGGCGCTGCAGAGAAGCATCTACCGCAAACTCTATTGTTTTTACCAGTCTTCCGGCTTGGGGACGTCACATCCGGTGTGGTTTGTGTTGGTTCGGCGGTGCTGTTCTCCTCGTTGCTCCTGTGGTGAATAGCCGGGATGTCTCAGCGGGAATGGAGCGTAGTGGAGGTGAGCGACAGAGTGTTGTCACTGGGTGGATGTATAGTGTGAGTGACAACACTGCTCTCCCATCATGTACCTTTGTCTGGGTCTCACTCACCATGTGTCAGAATGTACGTGAGAAGTAAATACTGAGGCACGTCCAGAGGGATGATGGGGGTAGCTGATCTCACGTGTGTTGTGTGAGAGGAATAAACACTAGTGATTCACAGTGTAGGTTAATCAGTTCATGATATGGACGTTTGAGTGCTAAATAACCGTTCACAGATTTTGCATTGTATTTCCACTGTTACAGACAAATCTTGTTTTGCTGACTAGCTGGTGAGTGTGCTGGGAAAAGCTTGTATTGTGTTTGCTCTGTGCAAAGCCCTTCCATGTGCACCTTACTTTACAAATTGACTGTAGCGACTACTTTTATAGTTAACTGTTCCCATTCACATAACTACTGGCATTAATATTTGAAAAATGCTGCTTACTGTTTTACTTCAATCCTACCGAGCATCTATGTAATCTTAAACAGGAACTTCACCAACCCAGGGGTTCATTTGCTTTTAACTGCCTCTTATACTTTGAGCACTGGCTTGAGCTCTGATAGTATATTCACTCACCCGTCCAGAAAATCCAGCATTGTCCTGCTGTGATCTGCTGATCCTCCACCGCATGCCAAGACCCGTGCTACCACCTTGAAAAATATCCAGCACATGTTCAGACATGGTGCGGTTCTTTGCCCAGTCTGTGGGATCAGGGAGACACCCGCGGGCATGTCTGTGTATGTGCTGGATCTGCCACACGTGCAGAGTGCTGTGGTTCTCTGCCAGGTCTGTGGGACCCGGCAGAGACCATTGGCGGTCTGCACGTGTGTGGAATCTTCACATATGCAGACCACCAATGATCTATGCCAGGGACCAGCAAGAAACCCTCAGTGTGTCTGCGCAAGTGCTACATCATAAAAATAGGCAAGTTAAAAAATGTATTTACATTTAAAATACAATTCTTGCAATTTTGTTAGAGGGCGGTAATAACAAATATCCAGTGGGAGTTTCCTAAATTTAGCTGCAAAACAGGAAGTACACTTTAGGTTTGGGTGTCTAAGGTTGGTGACTCTCAGGTAGAGCTCTCATTGATAATGATGTGTTTTAATATCATAGCACATGCTGCAATCTTCCCATTAGACTCTACCTACACTTGTCTGCAGTCAGCTGTTATTTATCCGTCTCTGAAGCATTCCAATGTTTTACATATTCTATGTGGATGAGAATATGCTTACAAGCCCTTTGTTGTTTGCAATAACTCACCTACACTAGATTCATTTTAAGAGGTGATCAGATCTGTTGTGCTGTTTGCTACACACAGGCCTTTGTATGTGTTTATATAAAGCTGTAATCTGCCTGTAGGCTTATAATGTCTGCATAGCACAACATTCTGATCAGTATTCCATGATATTGTATAATGACTTTCAGAAGCTGTGCTGTTGCTTCTAATGATTTCTTAGATGATCACAGAACACTGCAGTCCCATTGTGGCAGGTTTCAAGGGAAATTATGGGGAGAGTGAAATACATTCATCCCCCCCCATAATTAGATCCGACGTGGGACACTGAAGCTGTCACGCGTTGGCTCTATTGATCGACAACTAAGCGAACACATACCGCCGATCCGCTCACTTCCAGATCTTCTCCCTGCAGAGACTGGTGACTGTCAGTCACTGCTCCCCACAGGGATTCCCCCCTCCCCTCTCTCTATTTCTCCAGCACTGACTGGGGTGAGGCATGTACAGCTGACTCTGCCTCTGGAGAGGCAGAGCCAGCTGTCAATCAGGCAGCGGGGTGGTGGTGTTGGGATCTGTCCCAGCTGCGGCACTGTGCTGTCAGCATATAGCAGGCATCAGCCCACTATATGCTGAGTTTGAGGTCACAGGAGGACTTTAGTATGTGTCCTCCGGTGACCCTAAAAAGAATTATGTCAAAAAAAAGGTTGGGCCAGAGTTCTCTTTTAAAAAAAAGTGGACTGTAACACATTTTCTTTAAATTTTAAATGCTGCTGTTTAAAAATGTGCAACGTCCTGGGCCGAACGAGCTGGTGCTACACCGGAACAGATTTGTAAGGCGGCAACATGGTCAAGTTTCTCCACCTTTGCAAAGCATTATCGCCTAGATCTCAATACCGCAGGGGATCAGGCATTTGGCAGGAAGGTACTACAAGCTGTGGTCCCGCCCTAATTGGTAAGTTCTTGGTTATCCTCTCGTGATGCTGTCCTGGAAGACGTTATGGGAAATTCAGAGTTAGGACTTACCGGTAACTCTATTTCCATTAGTCTTTCAGGACAGCAACTGCCCGCCCATTGATGCTTGTAGTATTAATGTGATGTAGTGGTATTGCCTGTATGTGCCTTGTCTTTTTCCAGCTTGCCTTCGGTTCTCGTGATGACTGAGGGAGTGGAGGGTCTTTTAAACAGATTAAGTGACGTGTTTCCTGTGTGTGGGGGAGGAGATTCCATCTCGTGATGCTGTCCTGGAAGACTAATGGAAATAGAGTTACCGGTAAGTCCTAACTCTGAATTTTTAAATTCTAGCAAGTCTGTAAGTAATGGTTGCATATAACATTCTGCAGAGACAGGTATTATTGTTCAGAGCCTGAGCATTAATATTTCAGGGACAGATTTTACAAACTGCTATTGTCCAATGAAACCAGGAACTATTGGAAACTATATACCATTCATGTACAATGCATGGGACAAAGTGTATTCATAACTATATATTTTTAGCACTGTGCCACTTTTTTGTACCTGTTTTACTTGTTATATATGTGTCTGCTAACGGATTGCTATTATGAGTCTCTAATATGTTCTTAACTTTTTTGTTGTGGTGGTGGTGGTGGTGGTGGTTGTGGTGGTTGTGGTGGTTGTGGTGGTGGTGGTGGTGTGTGTGTGTGTGTCATTGGAGTTTTTGTGAGGACCAGAAAAGTGCAGTTTTGGCAGGTGCAGAAGCGCATTTAGGTGCGGTGCCGGCTACTGCAGAATGTGTGGAGGTGTGATGTTGGTGAATGTAGTAGTGTTTGGAGGTGCGGTGTAGTCTGTGACAATAAATGAGCGCAGAGTGTGTTGTCAGCAGGTGAATTATGTGACGGTGCAGCTTCGACTAGTGCAGGGTGCAATAAGGTGAAGTGGTGCTTGTCAGGCGCAGTGGCACTGAGTGGGTTTGGTGATGGAGAAGTGGTGTCCTACCAAAAGTGTGAATTAAGCCAGATGGCTCGGTGCACATAAACATTTAGCGAACGATTCACCTTTAGAATCTAGATGAGCCATGTGGCCAGATGCACACTGTAAAGGCCTCTGAAGGTGGGGGGGGGAAGTGGTAGCCCAGTCTCTTGTTCATTGAAGGAATGGATGTCACTCTCCCTCTCTCTGACAGGGATATAGTGAGAGGAAAAGAGCTGGATGGAAATGGTGTGGGCCGGGAACATGCCCTCAGCCATTGTTATGGAACCTTCTTTTTTTTTTTACCTGCACATGCCTGGGCTAAACTTGTTACTCACTGCTATGGGGCAGCCAAGAGTCTCAAGACCCGCTGTGAGGGGGGTGGAGTTAGCTGTTTGTCTGACTTCCTGAGTTTTTGTTTTACATAATTATAGGATATAATGTATAATAATCATTTGGTAATTGTGCATATGGATCAGTAACAATGCGCTCTAATCATGAACCTAGACTTTCTCAACCAGGGTGCCTTCAAATTTTCACACAGTGCCATGCATTTCCATAGTGCAGGCTAGCTAAGCACCCGCACCATGGAAATGCATGATATTGCTAATGCAGGGTGGGCTGCATCCAGGACCTTTGTCCACACATGCTCCACCTCCTGCCCTCTGCCATACTGCTGCAGTGTGGTGAAGTTTATAAGGTAGGACTAAGGACTTCTGACTGGAAGGAAGGGGGGAGGCGGGAGAGCCCTTATTGGAGGAATTTTCATGTGTGTTTTTTTTGCATGAAACTCCCTTCTTAAGATGTATAACAGACCCCTGTCTAGGATAAGGGTCTGTATAGATTTTGGGGAGAACCACAAGTATGAGATTTTGAATACTTTCAAAGGGTGCCAGAACTGAAAAAAAAGGAAAAACTGCACTTAACTATGTGATGCCCTTGCCTGCTGGTGTAGCAGTCCATTTACCACACTTCACAGCCCCATGATCATATTGCTTACAAATGGCGAGCGTTCATTGGTTAGCATGCTCACATGAACCTATATAGTTACCTTTTTCCAGGCGTCCGGGGGGGTTTTTTTTTATCGTTCGTGCGCGGTGGGTGTGGGGGGGGGGGGGGGGGGGGTCCTAACTGCTGCAGAGATCATTACCATGTAATGTGACGTGGCAGAAGTCACTGCAACAATCTGCAGGGCAGGGGCTGACAAGTTGACTCCCTGTGGCAATGGCCTAGTGAGTCTACAGAGGACAGTGCCAGAGATCAGGTTTTTTCTGTTTAGAATCCTGTGGGGGAGCCATTTCTTTCAGTTTTGGACAAGGTAGAATTGGGCTTTAGCCTTTTAGTTAAAATGTTTTTATTAAGTTTAAAGGAGAACTATGAGGTGAGTGAAAATCACTTACCTCATAGTTCGAGCTGACGTGTGACAATTAAACTGTCACACATCGACTCAATAGATGGGGAAGTGAGCGAACACATACCGTTGCTCGCTCACTTCTCGATTATCTTCCTGCAGAGAGGGAAAGTATATTTGTTTGGGGTCAGTTTTCTTTTGTTTATAAACTCATGTTTTATGTATTTGTAATTAGGGATGTTGAGTACTCATACTCGCAAAAATGCTCTGATGCCTAGCCCGATACTTCGGGTATCGGGAAGCCGGGCAGCGTGTCATTACACCCTGCCCGGCTTCCTGATTGGTCGGAAGCTGGCTTCATGCTCCCTCGTCACCTCATGACGAGGGAGCATGAAGCCGGGCACCGCGTCATTACACAGCGCCCGACTTCCTGATTGGCCAGAAAGCTGGCTCCATGCTTTCT